CCCGTGCTTTTTCACATCTTTGTTAGAAAATCATTTCATGTCTTTAGCGCGAAGAGGACGAAATAAAGGAAAGAGAAAACCAAACATCCGACATTCTGTGATGTATTTACAATAAAATACCAAAGTCAGGTACGTATATAACATAAATAACATTTCATGATCTGCCCACGATGTAGGTCAATATTCTTACGCCATGTTTTCTGCAAAATGGTTGCCGTTCAAGATGAAAGTTAAAAGCGATAAATATAAGCATTAACTGCGCTATCTCGAGGGATAACAAAACTGTTCAAAAGTTTGAGGATTTTCAGTGAAAATATGTGCTCGAAATCCTTGATCCTGATATTATATTTCCATTTTTCGACATTTCATCTTTTCCAGCCGAAACTCATGCAGGAGATAGGGAAATGATATCCCAATGGTGCCTTGCTGAAGGTCAAAAGGGGCATCCCTTACAGATTGCAGCAAGTCCCCCAGAGAGTTCCCAGTATTCCATATACTCTGTAGTATTCCAGAGAGTCCCCAGTATTCTACATAGTCCCCAGTATTCCAGAGAGTCCCCAGTATTCCAGAGAGTCTCAGTATTCCAGAGAGTCCCCAGTATTCCAGAGAGTACCCAGTATTCCACATAGTCCCCAGTTTTCCAGAGAGTCCCAGCATTCCAGAGAGTCCCCCAGAGAGTCCCTAGTATTCCAGAGAGTCCCAGTATTCCAGAAAGTCCTAGTATTCCAGAGAGTCCCCAGTATTCCACAGAGTCCCAGTATTCTAAACCGTCTGCAGTATTCCAGAGAGACTCAAGTATTCCAAAGAGTCCCAGAGACTTCCCAGTATTCCAGAGACTCTATAGTATTCCACATAGTCCCCAGTATTCCAGAGAGACTCAAGTATTCCAGTGAGTCCAAGAGCATCCCCAGTATTCCAGAGAGTCCCAGAGCATCCCCAATATTCCAGGGAGCCCCCAGTATTCCAGAGAGTCCCAGTATTCCACACAGTCCCCAGTATTCCAGAGAGTCCCCAGTATTCCACACAGTCCCCAGTATTCCAAAGAGTCCCCAGTATTCCAGAGAGTCCCCAGTATTCCAGAGTCCCCAGTATTCCACATAGTCCCCAGTATTCCAGAGAGTCCCCAGTATTCCACATAGTCCCCAGTATTCCAGAGAGTCCCAGTATTCCACATAGTCCCCAGTATTCCACATAGTCACCAGTATTCCAGAGAGTCCCCAGTATTCCACATAGTCCCCAGTATTCCAGAGTCCCCAGTATTCCAGAGGGTCCCAGTATTCCAGAGAGTCCCCAGTATTCCAGAGAGTTCCCAGTATTCCAGAGAGTCCCAGTATTCAACATAGTCCCCAGTATTCCAGAGAGTCCCAAGTATTCCACACAGTCCCCAGTATTCCACATAGTCCCCAGTATTCCAGAGAGTCTCCAGTATTCCAGAGAGTCCCAGTATTCCACATAGTCCCCAGTATTCCAGAGAGTCCCCAGTATTCCAGAGAGTCCCCAGTATTCCACATAGTCCCCAGTATTCCAGAGTCCCCAGTATTCCACATAGTCCCCAGTATTCCAGAGAGTCCCCAGTATTCCACATAGTCCCCAGTATTCCAGAGAGTCCCAGTATTCCACATAGTCCCCAGTATTCCACATAGTCACCAGTATTCCAGAGAGTCCCCAGTATTCCACATAGTCCCCAGTATTCCAGAGTCCCCAGTATTCCAGAGGGTCCCAGTATTCCAGAGAGTCCCCAGTATTCCAGAGAGTTCCCAGTATTCCAGAGAGTCCCAGTATTCAACATAGTCCCCAGTATTCCAGAGAGTCCCAAGTATTCCAGAGAGTCCCCAGTATTCCACATAGTCCCCAGTATTCCAGAGAGTCTCCAGTATTCCAGAGAGTCCCAGTATTCCACATAGTCCCCAGTATTCCAGAGAGTCCCCAGTATTCCACATAGTCCCCAGTATTCCAGAGAGTCCCAGTATTCCACATAGTCCCCAGTATTCCAGAGAGTCCCCTGTATTCCAGAGAGCCCCCAGTATTCCACATAGTCCCCAAAATTCCAGAGAGTCTCCAGTATTCCAGAGAGTCCCAGTATTCCACATAGTCCCCAGTATTCCAGAGAGTCCCCAGTATTTCACATAGTCACCAGTATTCCACATAGTCCCCAGTATTCCAGAGAGTCCCCAGTATTCCACATAGTCCCCAGTATTCCAGAGAGTCCCAGTATTCCAGAGAGTCCCCAGTATTTCACATAGTCCCCAGTATTCCAGAATGTCCCAGTATTCCAGAGAGTCCCCATTATTCCACATAGTCACCAGTATTCCACATAGTCCCCAGTATTCCAGAGAGTCCCAGTATTCCAGAGAGTCCCCAGTATTCCACATAGTCCCCAGTATTCCAGAGAGTCCCCAGTTTTCCAGAGAGTCCCAGTATTCCAGAGAGTCCCCAGTATTCCACTTTGCAGTAGGAGAATAAACATGGGCCCCTGTGAGGATGGTATGACTCTGTTTTCTACAGACTGTTAAAGTGTGATCGGAGACATGAAATTATCGACAAGGAAAGAAAGCAAATATTTTCATCATAATTGAAAACAAAGTCAGAAACAAAATCAGTTTCAAAAGTAGTCTCTCATCTCTGTAAGTAGTTTTCTAGGTTTTCTTTCAGAAGACTCAAAGACAGAGGTTTGGGATGTTGATTTTCGGTGTATTGTTTCGGTTCAAATATTTTCTTTGTTTCTTGTTTTCTTTATTCTTTTTTAGTGTCTAATTTTACTCTCTGTTTAACCTTGTATCCTTTTGTTTTGATCATGACCCATAAAGGATCTAACAATGTGTATACGTATGGATTATGTTTTGTGATTACAAATAACATTTTCATATTATCGACTTGGCCATTTTCGGAAATGCCCAATCAGTCTCTAGGGGTCAGACAGTATCAACATGCCCATACTATCAACTTGTCATCCTATACTAATAATTCCAACCAAAATCGAAATATTCCCAATGATAAATTATACTCAAACAAGAGGCCCATTGGCCTTCACGGTCATCTGACTACAAAAACTTTCGTCCGGGAGAAGGGTTACTTTTTCTACTTTGAATGAAATCTTACTAAGAAGCTGTTTCCATGATGGAGATGTAGTTTTGGTGAGGAGTTCTTAACTGTAACAAGTGTTACCTATTTTTTGACAGTAAAGTTGGAGCTCAATCCAACTGGTGAAACTTGAGAAGTTTGAAAAAGGTGTTGCACAGGAAAACCATGATTGTGCCATCATGTTTCAAAATGACTTCCCTGGCTTCTTTATCAAAGTTTTAAAAAGGTCGAAAAATAACAACACTTTGTTGGCTAACTTTTCTTAACATTCCCACCAATGTGTGGAACTGAAGAAATTTAAAATATGCTTTTCAAGATGGTGGCTACGGCAGCATCTTGGATTTCAGGCCAACCTGAAAAATAACACTTGGTCAGGATCGTCTCAGAATCATATAATGCAAGTTTGAGTTCAACCCTACCGTTGAAACTTGAGAAGACGAACGAAGCAGAATGGCTATAGGTCATCATGGCCCTGTGTCAGATGGCCTAAAACGTTTCTAAATTCTTGACAAACTCTCCAATAAGAGTATTTGACTACTATAACTTGGTATTGAGAAGAAAGACCATCCTATACTAGCAATGCCAACCAAGTTTGATCTTTTTCTAAGAGAAAATAAACAAATTATGCTCTAAAATGTAAGTTTCCTATTTAAATGTTTATAAATGTTATGTGGGGATATGTGGAACCCTTGGCTCATGAAATTTACAATTTCGGTAAAGCACCAAAGATTCTTTCATCCTTGAAGAGTATTTGATTTTTCCACACAAGAGAACCGAAAAGGTTTTTTGAAATTTCAACAACTTGACCCCTTTCTGGTTCCTGAGAGGTGGGAACCATATTTACAATTCTTGTTCACATTTGCCATGGCCGGTTTCGTAAAAATTCTTTGAAATAGGTTCAGAGGTTATCCAGGAGAAAAAAAGACATCAAAAGTTTTACAAATGTACGGCAGATGATGGACAACGTAGGATCACGGTAGGTCCCCACAAAACTCAGGTGACTGGAAAATAGAGAATTCCTCAAGTATTTTCGATACTAGCTGTTGAAGTAAACAGCCTCGCGAGTGTAATGAGCAATTCTTGCTGCTGGGCAAGATAATTCATTTGAGAAACATGTATGCTTAGATATGGTGCTTTAGTGTGGGGATCTCAAACACAATGGCTCATGTAAAGCGAACTTCTTTATAAAAAATGTCGTTTTCTGAGCTTCTCTTAAAAAATCAAGTCCTTAATTGGATTATACTGTTGTTTCACTGGTGTTTTGCAAGAAGTTTTTGAAGATGCAGCTGTACTATATATAACCTGAGAGTTTTAAAGAACCAGAGGCCTTGCCTAAGGGTCTGCATTATATGGTCTATGGTCAATGTGCATTGTACATCCATGGTTTAAGTAAGCGCTGAGTACGTAATGTATGTGGTACATTTGTATGACTACACATTCAACTTCGTCAATGTCCTATGTAGTGTACTAGTGCAGTAAAATCGCTAGGACTTCTTGGTTGTAGTATAATCCCATGTACACTAAGGTGGAAGTGAGAAGAGATGGCCATAAAATCATGTTGGAAATTGGTCAAACAGAGAATCCGCCACAAGTAATGTACATGTCAGAAGGTAACATACAATGTACTACCCCACAAAGGTAGTTTGTAACATTGGTTGTAGATAACTGCACATGGATGCAAGAGTCTATGGACCCCCTCATCCGTGTTTAGAACCGGCCTGTAGCAGTCTATTCAAAATGGCTTCTCTGACCTACTACTCGAAATCAAGATTTCATTACAAATACGTTTCACATCGGTCCATAGTCTAATAAAGGCACATAAATTTGCCAAAGGTTGCAATATTGGAACACCTCTTCAAAAGAAGAAACTGTACCGATACTTGATATATAGAATGGCGCAGAACCACAACAAACACAGGTTTTATAAAAAATAAGTTTATATACATAACAGATGGCTGCATACAAATCACTGTATACTAAAAACAGCAAATTCCTTAACAAAAACAGCAAAACAGGTGGATATGTTTTGTATGGAACACTCTAGTACACCTACATAATATATACCTGTAACTGATCACAGGACATTATGCTGCTATATTTTGTTAAAAGCTGTGATAAAATAGTTCTGCACTATAATGTTGCACCCTAGTGTAAAGACAAGGGAGATAATCCTATTATGTAGCACTTTAAGTTTTATGTAACTCCATGGTGTACCAGAAAGGGAGATAACTAATCAGATCTATATGTTATATTAGCACTTCTCCATAACCCCATGGTGTATCAGAAAGGGAGATAACTAATTAGATCTGCAGGTAATTTCTTCCATGGGAGACAATTCAGTAATATAAGTTGCTTTCAAATGGAATGAAACTACAGCTTTGGATAAAATCATTGAATATTTTACTTATAAAAAGTATGTATGACCTACCAAAATATTGAATAAATATGAAATTATCCATATTTGTATATGAAACATCCGGCAAACTATGAAGCAGAACAAAGAGAAAGAAAAATATATATATATATATATATTGGTACTTGTCTTTCACTGCAAATTTAATACCATATATAAAGAACAATCATTATAAGAGGATTCATATGATATAACTTGTATAAGTTATAAGTATCTGTGTACCATAATCCACCATAGGAAACCCAATCTGTGCCCATCCCACCCACATACCTGAAGTAGTAAAAGACAAATTTATCATTGTACTGTAAAATCATATTGAAACACTTTGTAGTCAGGAGATTTTATACTTGTCATAAATCATAGCAAAAAACAAGACAGATCAAATGTAGCATTTTCAGCATTGTACAATTTTAAACATATTTTAAGCACAAAACTATTAAATCAATTATTTTTTTCCATTTCTGACATTAACAAGTTCTTATTAGGCAAAGGAAGTTTTCTTCTAGATAATGTTATGAAAAGAAAAGTGAAAATGATAAAGTGAAAATGTGATGATTATAAATAAGGAATTTGGCAACTACAGCATAACGTAAATAATACAATACACTGATCAATGAAAATATAACACAAAAGAACCACATTATACACCGGTCAAATTTACATAGCACTAACAAGATACACTATGATACCAGATTTATTAAAATCAGAAAAAACAAACAAACAAAAATATGTGAGCTGCCTCTAATGACTTATTTCCGATGTTTGATATAATCACAATGTCTTCATCTTCCATGGTTATCGACCTTGAGTATTGAAACACCACAAACTCTATATATATGATGTGACAAAGGAATAATTTTTTTTTTAAAGTTTCACTTCATTGAATTTAACATACTTTTAAACATTCATTTTCATTGACTTAAGCACAATACTGTTTAGTTTCCAAAATAATATGTCTCTCAAGTTTTTGGGGAAAATATCAAATCAAGGCCAAAAGGGATAACTCCAATAGGAAACAGACATGACATATAAGGTAGATTTTCAGTTTTGTAGCGACAAAATTTCTTTCGGATTTAATTCTACCTGAGAAAGTCTTCCATCAAAAAGCACTAAAAACATTCTGCAATTTTAGTTATCCGTCTATCTTAAAACTTAAAAACATCCAATGCTAGGGACAAAGGAGAACCTAGCGCTGGAGAGAGAAAACAGAAAAAGTAAAAAGAAACATATAGACATCAAATATTCAAGTAGGAAAATAAGAGGTTTAAACAGAAAACAAAACAAACAAACAAAAAGACTCCAGAAGTACACATTCAATTACAGACTCAATATCAGTACTATTTGTGTCACTCTCCTCCTTACAACTATTTTTACTTTGGCTAAAAAAGTGAAGCAAGAATTTTTTATGATAAATGAAGAGGCAAAGCTAATATTGTGTCATTGCAGAGTGAAATATACAATTAGAAATACGTAGTAACAGCCAATTGAAAACGATACAAGTTATGTACATGAATGATCCTATAATCTATCTGATGTTAAACACTGGTTTACACTGTATTATCATCTACTAAGATAAAAAATTAAAATATAATTTCAATATAATTGAATTAATTAACCTGAAGATCATAATGCAATGAAATATAAGGAACAGTATTGGTGTATATAGTTGAGCAGAAACTAAGTCATTTTAAGATTATAACAACCATTTCCATGTTATGACAAAAAAAAAACAAAATACTACAATGTACCAATAAATCACACAAATAATACTGATGTAAACAGCAGATGAAGTATTTTCAACAAAAGTCATGAAAACTAAAGGTAATAGGAACAAATGAACATAATTTCGTATTTTTGAACTACAGAGTTATCTGCTCTTGTGAGCAGGTATCAACAGTAAAGTGATCACCTTTTTTTTTGGAGAATAACAGCACAAATTTTTGAAAAATTGTTATTATCTCAAGCAAACTAATGACATAACACATGCTTACTAACGCAGATAACTATGCAAGTCCAAATGATTGAACACCAATCAATGTGATGTGATGAAGATAAATATCTTGATGAGAAATTAGAAGTTCATTCAAAACAGACTGATATAAATCAGTCATTGAAATTGACAAATAAAGATATTTCTTAACAGCCTACAATCAAGGTTTTAAGATTTTAAATTTTCAATTTTTAAGGCAGTTGGTAATTGAACATGCTGACAAGGGAAGTATATATTTCCAAGTAAATCCTCCCTCGAAGCCAGATATCCCAATTAAATGAGGCAGCATTATCACATTAAATCAATCCTAATTAGGAAACGAGATGCTACTACACCACCAGGTAACATGAGATTCATACACACAGTAATCGATCATTAAAAAGCACCTTCGTTTCAAATGCAAGGGATAGGTTTGATTTAATAAGGGTGAGGTAATTTGGTTGAAAAGCAATCTCTTAATTATCTCATTGTTGATGTTGGATGTGTATGATTACTTAAATAAAACTGTATGAGCAGGACAACTCTGACAACACAGTTTATTGGATGGATGTCAGAAAACGAAAAGCATTTTTTGTTTGTTTTTGTAGGATCAATTCTCTGCAGTTTTGATGATGAAAGGGGATGTATTTTTTTTTATTGATTCATGTTATTTTCAGGTTTTTTTTTCTTGTCCAATGAATTATTATGAAAAAAGTAAAGCCACTCAAATATGATATTAGCATTACACTGTACATAGTACTACAATACAAAGGGTACTGCTAAAAGAGTTATCCTGCCCTGGCAGTAAAAAATAATGGTCCATAATTTTTTGAATTTATCATTCTGAAATGCAGACATGCAAAAATTCAACATCTTGATCAAACTATTGAAAGTGTTTAATCCAACAAATTAAGGTAAATGTAGCTTACAAGCAGGACTGACTACCCAAGCTTGAAAATGTTAGCAATACCCATGATAAAAGGGATATATTATTCGTGGCATATGACATAACTTAAATCTAAAATCTTTACATTTTTTTCCAAAATATATTTATACAAGTTATAAATTAGGAATATGTGGAATTTGTACAATATTTTTTTCAGTATCTTCTCTACAACTGTCATCTTCACTCAATCCTTCCATTAATTAAGCATCACACATACACATAGAGATACAGACAATTAAAAACTACATAGTGATATCTCCTACCCGTTCTACAGTCCACCTGGCCATATTTCTCATTTACACAATGTCAATCATTATTTCATTGTACTGAAATTTGAAAAAAGAAATGAAATAAAACAAAGACATAGCATTTGTGTCAATAGAAATACTAAACATAGCTATATACTTTACCAAAATATCCTAAAAAATTGTGTACTTAACATAGCTATATACTTTACCAAAATATCCTAAAAAATTGTGTACTTAACATAGCTATATACTTTACCAAAATATCCTAAAAATTGTGTACTTAACATAGCTATATACTTTACCAAAATATCCTAAAAATTGTGTACTTAACATAGCTATATACCTTACCAAAATATCCTAAAAAATTGTGTACTTAACATAGCTATATACTTTACCAAAATATCCTAAAAAATTGTGTACTTAACATAGCTATATACTTTACCAAAATATCCTAAAAAATTGTGTACTTAACATAGCTATATACTTTACCAAAATATCCTAAAAAATGTGCAATGGTAGCTTAAGATCTTAAGTTTGAACATTTCCTGTATAAGTTGATGTTTTAAATTTTTTTAATATTTCCTGTATCTGCCAATGTTTTAAAAAGTTTTCAATGACACTCATATTTATACATACATGTGTACATTAATGACTAGTGTTTCTCAGAGAATCACTTCTCAAGAGCAATGCCTGGATTTGGAACAAATTCTGTGTTCTTACACTCAAACAGGCATAATGCCTGGATTTGGAACAAATTCTGTGTTCTTACACTCAAACAGGCATAATGCCTGGATTTGGAACAAATTCTGTGTTCTTACACTCAAACATGTATAAGGTCAAAGATGCAGTCCAAAACACATTATTTCATATGAATTTACGATGTAATACTTCTTTGTTTATCAAAAAACCCAAGTATGCAATTATTGCATTATAATTCATCTCAATGCAATATATACAGCACTCTTTATGACATCTCTTTGGTATTTCCATACACTACAGCACACCAATTAACATAGTCACTTAGATGGTAATCAAACCTATCGCCTCCTGATCAAGACCTGAATAACCATCAGGAGCCAAAAGGCTGCTCTCTGTCTACATGTTTTTTCTTTAATTCTGTTGGAAAGTATACATGTCAGATACACTTGGTTTGAAATTACTTCATATTTAATTGTTCCGATATATCGCATTTTGTGTGAACAGTGATAATGTATCAGCGCTAAAATGTATCCCTACAGTCGTCTTTTTCACCAATCTTATAGTAAGAATATTGATTCTTTAAGTACTCTTTATACAGAAAATCATTACACAGTAATAGAACATTAAATGGTATTGAATTATAACTGATGATGGCACTCAACAAATACAGAAAAAAAGGTGTATCTGAGTTACATAAAATTAAAATATCTACAAAGTGTATCTGTTACAGGTGCCAGTACATGGCACCATGATAGACAAAAACAAAGAATAACTTCAGAAAATTTCTCATGATGAATGGATACTTATATACATCTTAAATTATGCAAACATTTACTTATTGATAGAGAACATGTTACCAATTGAAAAGCTCTTTTCCCTCTAAAGTCTAAATATCCCCACATCACATGATTTATTTACATGCATGTTCTGTTAGCTTTCTTGTTTTTGACCACAATAAAAATGATAATTTCTCTTGCCAATGTGTATTTCTATGTAGATAAATATTTTATGTATGATTTATTAATGAAGCTGTTTTGTAATGTTACACTTGATTGGAGGAATGCATTTTTGTCCCCTGGTCAGTCTGGCAGTTATTAACTTCCATTGAGGTTGACATGTCTTCATTAACCCCTGATTTGGTTAATATCGCTTCTTATGATGTTGTATATATTGATTAAAGATCTTTCGATAGTAAAGTCCAGAAGCCGTTAATTATATTAAACACTGATGTTAACTCGGTATCTATTAAGACAGAATCATTCTGAAGATGAAGTTTATCAATAAACACAAATATCTGGGGGGGAATCATCTTTCAAACTAATTTGTAATCCTGTAAAGGCCAAATGAAATCATATTATGTTCTTCCAAACATGTCAGATCAAAAGTGGATTTTGGTAGAGAAATCTTGAATTCTTAAAATATTTTTTTTTACTCTTGGCTATAAATTCAAGTACTTTTGACTTTTAATCATCCTATTATGGAAATTGTTAAAAATTAAAAAAAAAAAAGAAACATTCACTGTTAAGAAGGCCCAAAAATGTATTTGGTTTAACAATGGAAACACAAGTATTTTACTTACGAAGGACTTATTCCCTTAATCCACCTAGGGCAGATAATTACATACACGATTGTCTTCAACTTCAAAAAATGTACTTGAATACTTTTTCACCTGTATGGTGTATTCATGGACTACTACGAAGCCAGCACTGTAGTGATGCTTGAAGTACAAAACTTGACAAGGGTAAAGACTTTTATAAGTGATGTACTGTCTAAGAATAATTAACGCTAACCACATCATCAGGGAAAGAGTACATTGAGGCAATTTTCTCAAGCACTGCATTAGATATTGAATAACACTGAAAATGGTTGGACTGGTGAAACACTTACAAGTTAACAATAAATACAATATCTGCAACAAAATGAAAGCATTTATTGTATACTATTGCTATAGACATGAAATTTACTTTTGTAACATTTAAGTTAATATTATAATTTCGCTGGTGAAAACATGATTTGGTCAAAGTATACTTTGTACTTTAATTTTTTTCTGAATATGCCTGCCAAGACAGACTGCAAGACAATTTTATCACTTCAATTTTGTAAGAAAACTATGTCACACATCCTGACAATATAATTTATTCTAGATCCTAGCTCAGGCTTCAAAATCTTCCTCAGATCCTGAAATGTTTACTGTATTATCTGGATCATAAGCAGCATTTTTTTTTTGCTCACGAGTTTGGCATGCGGCTTATATGTGGATGGGGGAAAAAAATTGGCAGAATGAAAAAAAAAAGTAGCATACCAATACAAGATGATATTGCATTTTTTAAAAGCGTACCTGTCTACCAAGTGTTTGTAACTGAAACAGATCGTGTAGAACAGTCACTTGTAATTGAATACTAGGTGAACAGTTACAAGAAGGCGAAAGTTACCAAAAGCTTATTGCATCCTAGGATCAATAGGTCTCCATCGAGTTATCGATCAATTTCTAGAATGACTGCTATGTTTGTTTTAATATAAATGACTTTGTGTCAATTACAAGAAATGATATGGGACTATATAAGAATCAGCATGCAAGGGCCTTCGTTAATATTTAACAGCACAGACACTGAATAAATGACCAATATTTTCAATGCCATGACAGTACATCATTAATTGATGAATATCTATTTAAAAAGGCTGAGTTAAAATGACCAATCTGAGTTGAGGTCGTCATTACAAATTATTTGGACAACAACTCTGATTTATTTGAAGATCTGCTTTTCTTTTCTCGAGATTGTTGTACACTTTACCTCAATCCAGTGTTTTACAGTAAAAGAACATGTCAAATATGAGGAAGATTTTGAAGTTTAAGCCCAGTCATATCCACACTCACGCCACCTGAACACCTTTATCATAAAGTTTGCATGATAATTGCCATAATTCCGGCACTGATTCCGCCTGCTACAGGCAAAGTCACACACCAAGCTAGAACTATGTTCCTGAAAAGCTTGAAGTCCACATTTTGCTTTGACCTATAACGGCCCACACAAACCACTGAGCCCACCTTGCAATGCGTGGTACTGATCGGTATCCCGATGTTGGAGGCGATAAGCACTGTCAATGCTGATCCAACTTCTATACAGAAACCACTGTAACATAAGGATGATCAAATCTTTAGTACACACAAATGAGTTTAATCCAGGTTTACCATCATTCTAAATCAGTTGTCTGCGAGAACACCTGTTCTGCAACTTTCTTTTCAAAAAAACGTTTTTCAAAATTCTTGTTTCAAGCTGCTTACAACTTATTTATTATTTGTGTATTACCATTGGCGGTGTTATGACTACAACATGTTAAAAGGATAAATATCTTTTCTGGAGATACATGTACAACTCAAATTTACAGACACAATTAATGAAATAAAAATGACAGAAGATGGAGCATAAACATCTGGAATCTGCAGATTTTTAGTTTACCTGTTTTGACTAGCTAGTCGTCATCAGAACGGTAAAAATATTTACATTGCTAATGTACAATTAATGAAATAGTAACCCCATTCCTAATTGAATTTATTTCATATTACCAAATTCCAAAATTAACCAGTTGACACGCTAAATCTTCCTTCCCAACTATCAATCTTCTACCCAAATGAAATAAAGTGGCCCAAACATGTGGATAAATCCCTGTAGTCAGTGGTAGAAGTGTAGATAAAATTGTCTCTGACTTGAACGAAAGCGAGCGAGAAGACGTGTACAAAGCCTAGAAAAGACAATTATTTTGAAGAAGCATCTCACCTTGATGGGGTGATCTTTGTGAGATCCTCTCCCATCGTTTGTATGACTCTTCGGCCCCACACCCAAAGTCCAATACTGATCCCTGCTCCTCCAAAGATGAGGATCCACAGAGGGGTCTCGGCCTTCTGAAGTGCGTTACCCTGGGTACCAATGATCCAGATGCTAACAAGTGGTCCAATAGCATTGCTGCAATAACAAACAATTCTCTTTGTCAATGAAACAATCTATCAAGACAACAAGGGACATAGTTATAACATTTTCAATAACTAAACCATTATTGTGGTGCAATGAAAACATCTATATTCCTACAATAAGTAATGCTTTTTAAATGAAGACTCGTTTATTGTATTTCATCAAGCAGTAACACTGTTATTAGTAGTCATCCATTCATGTCACCTACACCTCACGAGAAATGCGGACAATACTTTATCTTCTCATGTAGCAAGCCCAGGAGTCCAAGATTATATTAGGCTTAAAACAGGTTTTCAAATACCTGGCCTTTCTAAAACCTTCATTTTACTCAAACTGACAAAGGACCCCCAAAATTAACAAAGTTAAAGTCTATTTCATGTAAGAAATGAATTCCCTGACTCTAATAATTCCTAAGCTTGAGGGTCCCAGGGAAAACTCTGTTACAAGATATGTATATCAAGTGAAAGTTAAGTGATACACAGTACGGTGGGATAGAACTAGCTCATACAGATAATGTTGGACACACTATACTAAATGTCTAACCAAAAACACAAACCTGACGTCATTTCCTCCATGAGCGAAGGAACCGAACACAGCTGTGAGAACTTGTAGGAATGAAAATAATTTGGCAGTTTTGGGTTCATCTTTCAACTGCTCACGTCCTTTTTCCTGAAGAAAAGTACAAAAAAAAAATACAATGCTTTGTTCTTCCACTGTGATCTCCAAAAATTCAGACATTGTTTTTTGCATGTTTATGGCCTATCAATAGTTTTGTTTCATCGTGAGTTTTTAAGGGAGATACATCAAAATCTTTCCATAAATTATATTGAAATAAATCCATTTAAGTAATTAAATATCTTTAAGATGACATTTTAAAAAGTTCTAACAAGATATTTCTGAAGAAGATTAGAAATCAGTATCAGCAAGAAAAGTAGATATTAGAACTTAGTAAACACAAACAAGTAATGCTAGTCTTCATTCAATAAAATTTTTTTAGGATCCATTTTTTGTTAATTGTCAAAATCCACTATGCATAGTCAAATCTTGACAACAGAACAGTGTAATTGCCTTCCTTTATTTTTTCTCTACATATGTTGGAGATGTCACCTTCAGGAAATCTATGTTTCAACAAGGTAGGACTGACAAATAAATGCAGCTTTTGTTGTGCAGCATTTGACCTTCAAGACAGCTTTACATCAACTAAAGTAAATTTAAGATGTATTACCTCCCTTTGACTGAAGGATAACATGCTATGCAGATTTATCAATGTACTCACCAAGTCTGATGTACTGGAATCTTTACTGCTACTGCCTGGACTGCCATCAAAATTGTCTTTGTTGGAGAAAAGAAATAATTAAGTTTACATTTCCCTTATAACACAATGTTAAAAACAACAGTGGTAGGTAAGTTATCAAAGTGAAAATTCATTACTATAAATTTTCACAGATTTTTCAAATTTTTCAACCCCAAATTTATATCAGGAAACAGATGAAATGATGTACTGGTCTGTATTTCTTATACAGGAAATGAAATGAAAAGCTATTTTTTGAAAAGCCACTAATCTTCACTAATCTCCTACTGCATGCCCTTATCTTTCAAGAGAAAGGTCATTATATGGAGGAATTAAATACTCTCCCACATTTCTTTTAATAATTTACCATTCATTTTTCTCATAAATATAGGTAAGCAGCTGTGAATTTTTCATCTAGTGTAAATATTACCTTGCAGTAGCTTACGACTAGAGAATGTGGAGTTGGACTCGCGGAATAGCAAGGGAGTGATACTGCCTTGAGGGGAGGGGCCTGAAACAAAACAGGTATAAAATCGATCATGGTAGGTACAATAAATATTTCTGACAGTTTAGTCTTGAACGTGTTACATCATCACTATCAATTACCAAATTAATATTGTGTTGTAAAAAAAATGAAAATGTTTTTGGTTTTTGAAAATATTTTTCCCTTGAATTTACCAGAATGAAATCACCCCATGTACTGTTACCACCATTCTTTTAGAAAAAAACCTTATTTACAAGCAATTTATTACAAGAAGTGTTATTAACGAGTACAAATAGACAACAAAAAGCGCAGAACCATTTGAAAAAGAAACATACCATTACTCATGGCTTTCCCGTTAGGAGTCAAACTTGGTGTGATTCCATGTGCTTCTGCTAGTATCACATCAATGTTTGTATCCTTTTCCTGAAAACACCCAATCACTTACAGTACCACTCAAGAGATGAAAGAGCAAATTTGTGCCTTTTTGGCAGATTATAACAATGACAAATTAACAAACTGCAGTTATTGAGATTAGTGTGATACTTTCAGTAGGAAAAATGCTCAACTATGAATCTTGATAAAATATGCATATCTAAAGTATTCTAACCAGTTTTTAAAATCAAGCAAATCACAACATAGGTGCTATTCATAATTTTATACACAGTATTTCTAGAAAAATTATTCTTTCAGCTGGTTTGTAAGTGTTTATAAGCATATTACCAACTAAAATTAGAAAAATATGAAAACAGAGAGAGAGAAAAAAGAAAACTATCATTTCAAGGAATACTTACAATCAGTATCCCCGATGGAGCACTTTTCTCTTTCAGAGGAGTTTTCTCGCCATCTTTCTTTCTTCCTGGGATTACAATATCATGAATGATACAAAAAGTTTTTTTTTTAAAAAAGAGATGTTATTGATAATTTGTAACTTAAATAAATTTTATCAAAACTTAATATACTGACTCAGCCAACTTTTGAAAATTTTGTTAAAAACACTGGTGTAGTATATCAATTTCTGCTATTAAGACATTCTTAATAGTCTGAAGCCTGTGATTTTTGTTTCATACTTAAAACCTTCAATCTTTTAAGAGGTATTAAAAACACCATTCCATCCCAACCCAAGACTACACATTTAGCGAAAGATAAACAGAATGAAGCTGTTTAGGGGAATTTCAGTAACCCTAGGACTCCAAAATGAATCATTTCTTACAATAATATTGGCTTCCCTTCTATTGCTGCTAAGTCAATTATCAATTAAACTCTTGGTTGTTAACCCTGAAAAACCTAGACCCTAAACATCCCTCAGATCCTGGGATACATAGGTGTTTAACATGAATAGCTAGGAGTTTTTATGTAATAGACTGGAAATCTAAATTTATGGACAGAATAAGTTCCATCCCCTAGAATCACAAGGTCAGGAAAACCCCCAGAATCACAAGGTCAGTAAAACCCCTAGAATCACAAGGTCAGGACAACCCCTAGAATCACAAGGTCAGGACAACCCCTAGAATCACAAGGTCAGTAAAACCCCCAGAATCACAAGGTCAGTAAAACCCCTAGAATCACAAGATCAGTAAAACCCCTAGAATCACAAGGTCAGGAAAACTCCTAGAATCACAAGGTCAGGAAAACCCCTAGAATCACAAGGTCAGGAAAACCCCTAGAATCACAAGGTCAGTAAAACCCCTAGAATCACAAGGTCAGTAAAACCCCTAGAATCACAAGGTCAGGAAAACCCCTAGAATCACAAGGTCAGGAAAACCCCTAGAATCACACAAGGTCAGGAAAACCCCTAGAATCACAAGGTCAGTAAAACCCCTAGAATCACAAGGTCAGTAAAACCCCTAGAATCACAAGGTCAGTAAAACCCCTAGAATCACAAGGTCAGGAAAACCCCTAGAATCACAAGGTCAGTAAAACCCCTAGAATCACAAGGTCAGGAAAACCCCTAGAATCACAAGGTCAGGAAAACCCCTAGAATCACAAGGTCAGTAAAACCCCTAGAATCACAAGGTCAGTAAAACCCCTAGAATCACAAGGTCAGTAAAACCCCTAGAATCACAAGGTCAGGAAAACCCCTAGAATCACAAGGTCAGGAAAACCCCTAGAATCACAAGGTCAGTAAAACCCCTAGAATCACAAGGTCAGTAAAACCCCTAGAATCACAAGGTCAGTAAAACCCCTAGAATCACAAGGTCAGGAAAACCCCTAGAATCACAAGGTCAGGAAAACCCCTAGAATCACAAGGTCAGGAAAACTCCTAGAATCACAAGGTCAGGAAAACCCCTAGAATCACAAGGTCAGTAAAACCCCCAGAATCACAAGGTCAGGAAAACCCCTAGAATCACAAGGTCAGGAAAACCCCTAGAATCACAAGGTCAGGAAAACCCCTAGAATCACAAGGTCAGTAAAACCCCTAGAATCACAAGGTCAGGAAAACCCCTAGAATCACAAGGTCAGTAAAACCCCCAGAATCACAAGGTCAGGAAAACCCCTAGAATCACAAGGTCAGGAAAACTCCTAGAATCACAAGGTCAGCAAAATGCTTTTATTGAACAGTCCTGAAGCATATCGTACAAAATGCCCACATTTAGGTTTTTCACTGATATAGCCATCTAACTACATTGTACATGTAAACAAGATGTCTCTCAGTGACAAGAATTTTGGTTTGTGTCCCCATCCAGCTTGGAAAGCATTCAGCAGAGAAGGAAAATAAAAAAAATTCAGGACACATTCTATATAAAGGCAATACAGTATCACAACATCACTGCATACTAAATTTTAGTTAAATATCTATCAATTAAAGTGTAAACAAGCAGAAATCAAATTTTGACCGAATGACATTCAGCTTGTTCAATAATGGTTGTTTACCATGGCCATTGAGAGAAAGGAGCAGGTAAATTACAGTGCATATTCCATCAATCCCTACCGATATTTTCTTTGTTTTCAATATCAACATCTAATTGAACATCAATGACGTTAGCTGCTTCCACATCTTTTGTAAGCATTTTTTGTTGTTCATCTGGCGACAGCGCCGTCTCTACAGCTGAAATACCAAACAAAGCAAGGAAGTGCAAGGATGAATGATGTGTCATGCAGGTAAATCTGGTGCAAAAATAGCAAATACCTTGACAGCTCAATATTAGATCAAGTTTTTATTGTACTGCTTTTTTCCACTTCACGATGAAGCCTTTTTGTCTTTTTATGGTTATTTGTTTGAATAAACTAAAATTGGTTTCAAAACTGACATCAAATAATGTCTTTTTTCTTTTTGTTTAAAGACATAGGCAGTCCATAATTAACTTTAACCTTTACCAGAAATGAAGCGATTATATTCAGGTAGATGGCCAACTGATCCAAACAATTATAGCTGATATTATTGATGTCAACCAGGTAATTTTTCATTGTAATGACAAGTGTAAAATCATCCTTCAGTTGTTGTCATTTAGATATCAAACAGAAACAGCTGAAAAGGGTATTTACATCAGCACCAGAAGTCTTCTAATTACTTAAATACAGGACATACAACAGAAATTTATGGATCTTTGTAAAGTAGTAATAATATTAGAAAAAAAGGTATAGAAATTAACAAGTAGACAAGGATCCACAGATATGTAGCCATAAATGCTTTTGGATTTACAAGACAAGATACACAATCACATGTACAAACAACAAGCCAGGTAACAAACATTTAAGTCAACTATTCTAGATGGAATGTTATAACACATTAACACATACATCAATACAATAGATATTTTTTCGGTAATGTAGCCTTGTTTTCAAAATAGATCTTCACATAAACATCTTTCAGAGTAATAACTTGTACCAACAAATGTTCTTTGTAAATAGTCAGCTACAAACCAGAACGCACAATTTGTGTTATTTCGAATATTGTTTTCTTTTTCTTCTTTTAAGAAAGCGACAGATGGAATAAATCCTGAAAGATCTAAATTTCTAAATTATCAAAGGTGGTAATCACAGTGACATTTGAGAACAATACACAACACAAGGGAAAAAGACTTGAAGTATCATATGGTGGCTGTCTCGCTGTTAATAATCTTGTGAGCTAGGATCATAGGATACTTTCTGTATATAGATATATGTTTAAGCAGGACAGTAGCAGTTCATATATAAAAGTTACATACCTTTCTCCAAGACTATACTTCCATCAGGACTTTCACCTTCTTCCTCCACAGTCAATTTTTCTAGAAGTAAAAAACTCACTGCTACATAAATTGTTCTAATGGTTACCTACAAATACTATTGAATAACTAGAAACACCTTTCTCATATTTACGAGAAAAATTTCATTTTTATGTTGAAATCAATTTTGAATATCATGGGAACAAAAAGAAATATCACCATTATCCCTGTTAAAGTGCATAAACAGAAAATAGAAATTACTTACTTGCCCTTAAGCGTGGCACAAAGAAGAAGAAAATAATCAGAGAAACTATGAAGGCCAGTCCAAACGTCAGGATAAGCACACCATACAGTGGAATCTGGTCAAACTTGAGAACTAAAACAACAGAATATAGTAACTCACATAATCTCTACTTTGTAAAACAGCAGAATATAGTAACTCACACAATCTCTACTTTGTAAAACAACAGAATATAGTAACTCACACAATCTCTACTTGGTAAAACAACAGAATATAGTAACTCACACAATCTCTACTTTGTAAAACAACAGAATATAGTAACTCACATAATCTCTACTTTGTAAAACAGCAGAATATAGTAACTCACACAATCTCTACTTTGTAAAACAACAGAATATAGTAACTCACACAATCTCTACTTGGTAAAACAACAGAACATAGTAACTCACGCAATCTCTACTTGGTAAAACAACAGAATATAGTAACTCACACAATCTCTACTTGGTAAAACAACAGAACATAGTAACTCACACAATCTCTACTTTGTAAAACAACAGAATATAGTAACTCACACAATCTCTACTTGGTAAAACAGCAGAATATAGTAACTCACACAATCTCTACTTTGTAAAACAACAGAATATAGTAACTCACACAATCTCTACTTGGTAAAACAACAGAATATAGTAACTCACACAATCTCTACTTTGTAAAACAGAATATTGTAACTTACACAATCTCTACTTTGTAAAACAGAATATAATAACTCACACAATCTCTACTTTGTAAAACAGAATATTGTAACTCACACAATCTCTACTTTGTAAAACAACAGAATATAGTAACTTACACAATCTCTACTTTGTAAAACAGAATATAATAACTCACACAATCTCTACTTTGTAAAACAGAATATAATAACTCACACAATCTCTACTTTGTAAAACAACAGAGGAATATAGTAACTCACACAATCTCTACTTTGTACAACAGAATATAGTAACTCACACAATCTCTACTTTGTAAAACAACAGAGGAATATAGTAATTCACGCAATCTCTACTTTGTAAAACAACAGAATATAGAAATTTACACAATCTCTACTTTGTAAAACAGAATATTGTAACTCACACAATCTCTACTTTGTAAAACAACAGAATATAGTAACTCACACAATCTCTAAGGTATTTAGAAGTTTGTATTTACAAGGAATCTACATCGAATTCAACATGTTCAAGACTTTCAGTGTTTTTATGTTTTCCTATTTCAAAACTTACGACTCGATCCTTTGTAGAATACAGAAAATGCATTAACAGCTGTTGTAAAAGCATAGAAGACTGGCAACATTTGAAGCCCAGCAGAAAAGGGATCATCCTGAAAAAGATATGCAGTGGTTATGTTAATATTAATTTCACTTATTTATTTTGGTTTTTAATGGGAAAACAAAGCACATTATGTTCTGGTTTAATGTTTATGATTGCTTAAGATGAAATCATCAAGGTATGGTTTCGAATTTCACACCATTTCTGCCACATGAATTAAAAATGGATTCTCATTTGAAAACTATCTGTCTCGAGCCAATGCGAAAAAAAGAAAAGGGAGGCCAACTGCAGAGAAAAAATTGTGCCTCGAGTAAAGAGTTCTGGACACTAGTTACTAATTGAAGGAGTATGGTGCTTCACTCAAGTATATTTTTGTCTTTAGATATCAGTAACTGTAGTGTAGTGTAGTGCATCGACAGAATGTTGTTCAGTAATAAACATTTAGTTATGAAGTAAACATACTGACCCGATACTCTAGCCTAAGTAAGGATCATTAAATGAAAAAGTTGAATACTTACAAAGTTATAAGCATTCACTGGCAAAATCTTACCTGCTTTTGGTGAAAGGTCAGATAAATATAAAAGTCTGCTGACTGTTTTCATTTCATTGAAAACAAATCTTACCTGAGACATTATCTGCTCCAAGCTTAAGGCCATGCTTATACCTCTACCCAGCTTATTAAGGAAAATCTCAAAGATTCCTTCAAAAGGCGTTAAAAAACAGGATTATTACTTAACCTTTTTCTTAAAGAACCCTTACCTTTTGAAAAAGAGAAAATTTATTCTCACCCGTTTCAATACGAGCTTCTTGACGATCCAAAATGAAAAGACAGTAATTATGCCAGACATGAGAGGGGAGACAAACCAGGATCCCACTGAAAAATAAGATAATTTGATGACTTTATGAAACCAGCAATATTTACAGTTATTTCAACTAATTAAGGGAATACCGACAATTTTTTCTCTTCATCAGCAATATACTTGATATGTTAATAATATGTGAAATATTACCGAATGTACTCGTTAATTAGGTCAGGTCAAGTTGACTTAGAGCTGATATCTAGAGACACCTACCAATGAGGCCTTTAGAGCTGATATCTAGAGACACCTACCAATGAGGCCTTTAGAGCCGATATCTAGAGACACCTACCAATGAGGCCTTTAGAGCCGATATCTAGAGACACCTACCAATGAGGCCTATCTTTTTCCAGTTTATACCCTGGATACCGTGGGCAACAAGGGAGAATCCAACCGTGGCCCCAACAATACTATGGGTTGTGGATACAGGCAGTTTTAGCAATGTTGCCACAAACAACCACACACATGATCCTTAAAAGATAAAAAGAAAAACCTCCATTTCAGTTTTTGAATAAAACCCTGAATTCATTTAAGTTAGAGTATCATTTTTATGCATTTTACTGCTTAAATTTCAAAAGAAAAATCTTAGTTTAACAGAATATTTTTACTCCATAACAACTACATACAAGAGTTTAATAGTATGATATTTTCTTTTTTTAATTTTCAAATCTCTATAAATTTTACATCACTTGAACAGGACAAAAACTATCCCTTAATAAAGAACCTACCTGACAATGCAGCAACATTGCCTGCAAGAAGCAGCGTCTCTGACCCATTGTTGTAGAGAGAAACATCTATTATACCCTTTCGTATGGTATCCGACACTCGATAACCTAAACACAAAAAATTCCTATAATTCACTTTTAATTCAAATATGTATATCAGCAAAAATAATTTATTTGTTCACTTTTATTCTGAATTTGACATAAATATTCATATGCATAAATTGCAATGTTCAGATGACAATTTTGAAAATTCGAAAATGATCCAAAAGATTACCATATTTATCCTACAATATGCCTGGAAACTATATTGTTACTTCAGACTTGAAGTATAAAATGGGACGGTCTTATTACTATAAAATGATATAGTATTTGTTGCTGTTTCAACTAAAAACTTAAGTACATGTGTGTTTGCTTATTACCCAACATGGGCTTATAGTAAAAGAAAATTATTTGTATATTACTAAATGTAAGAGTTTAAAAGGAAAAAAAAATTACTTTGGAAGGTTTGTTGTAGCAATGTTAAAAGGATTGATACTGAAAATCTTAAAGCATGACTGAACCTGTTTAACACATGTTCAATAAATTACCTATTAGGATGGCACCAGCTATTTCAAAGATTGTTCCTAGGATGCATGCTTGTCGAAGGGTAAGTACTTTAGCACCCACAGATGTCCCAAATGAATTGGCAACATCATTTGCTCCGATTCCAAATGCCAAAATAAAGGCAATGATAAACCCCACTATCACATACACCAATGCATCCTCACTGACGAGCATTCTCCAAGAACAAGAAGGCTCAAGTCTGACGATGAAAATTCCTGAAAAAAAAATCAAAATTTCAATCTCATCAAAAATATTTTAACCAAAAAGATATAATGAAATTGATGGAAAGCTGTAATTTAACATAAACAGTTTGAATTATAATTTGAGAAAATATGGAATGAAACTTGAAAAGAAAAGGAGAATGATTTCAACGAGAGAAACTTCTAATAAAAGTGAAATATTTTCCTGATAAAAATTATGAGTTTTCATAATCAACAGCACATCATATGAAATGACTTGTTTTTAAGGCGGACAACAGTATTTTTGAAAGAAAATTAATCAATTGTGTAGTAACCATTCATAACCATTTGTTGAGAATAGTTTTGGAAACTATAACTATCTTACTCAGCTTGTAGATCACCGGCCGTAGGTGTGCTAGTGTTAACTCCCTTCTAACATCCGACTTTATACAGACTAGGTGATGTGACTTCACATAATTTGTGACATTATACAATACATCTATTGACTTATCACAAATTAATATCAGGCCATGCATGTGATATATTATTCATAAAATATATAGGCCAAAATACATGTCCCTAATCTTTGACCTCTATGACCTATCTTTCTATGGTACCACTAATGGACTAACAGGTCAGAACAGCAATTTCTTTGCAATTTGATAAAAGCATTACCTAGTAAAACTTCAGCTATCATGTAAACAGATTTCAGGGCTCTCACACCCCATTTTGGGAATGGGGCCTGGGGCCCTTAGAATTGGGGAAAAATAGCGGCGTTTTCCTAAGAATTGGGAAAACTTGGGGTCTTAATTGGGAAAAAAGATACTATTTTGCGTTGGGGAATTCGGCCCCAAATCTGGCAGATTGAGAGCCCTGGATTTTGAAAAGTACACGAAGGGCAATATAAAGGTATTGGGATGGTACCACTTTCAGTATCTGATTTATAGCAAAGTGATATAGAAATTAAATACGCAGTACGTGTGTCTTATTACCCACCTTTAAATATCTGATCTCAAACCTGGTGTTTACTTTCTTCAACAGTTCCTTGAAACTGTTAGCTTTCCAAACCTGCAAAGACACAAGAAAAAGAAATTGATTTGACTTATTACAATATTAGTGCTAAAGTTAAATACTGCTGTTTGTCACTTCAATGTGGAAGAATGTGAAATGAATACAGGATTTCAAAACATAAACTGCAGGTGTCTGTTATTTGTTACTTTGTCAGAATTGTAATGTCAGAATATTCAGGTCAGATTACCGTAAAAACCCATGTAATGTCCGCACTTTTTTTCACCGAAAATCAATCCAAAAAAGGGGGTGCGGACATTACAGAGATATAGAGGAAATGAGGACAATTCATATCATATCTCCTTGAATTGTGTTCTTAAAAGTCAAGCATACCTGATATTATCGTTCTATGGTTTTTCTATGATGTTTCCTCAACCAAACATGATTATTTATGATTATTTATTATAGTTTCCATGGTTAATTCCTTCCATTTTCTCGTTACAGGTTCGTATTGTGTCTTCGTAATAGGAAGCCATTTTGTTTGACTTTGTCACATGAATAAAGTTAGAGTTATTCCCCTTTCCCCATTGAAAAAGCATACCCATGAGCATATACCAAATAACACAACATTTTCATTCTACATTTTACAAAATAACAATAAATAACATGTACAAGAATATTACATAAAATAAATTCAGACGTTTTATTGATTATGGATCGTTTATCAGAAAGTCTTAATACACAGCAGGCCGGTTTAATAGCGGCCAGAAATGTAGGATGCTCGGAGTTGGCTGATGGTTGGACGTGGGCGGGTCGTGTTACTGTATAGTTATCGTTAATTGGCTAATCACACGCTCTCACTCACTCACACTCGAGGTGAGGAGACGACCCAAGCTGTTTATAACACTGCTGGGCTAACCCTTATCAAAACACCAATTATCGAAATGAGGACTTGTCATACCGGTAAGCTTACTGTACCATTATGGAGAATAACTGTTATAAACAATTAAGTGAATTCTTGAATGGTACCTGTACGTTATACACAATGCGACATGCTCTCGGCCATTACGACATTAGCTTACGTGAAATGAAATCGGCAGCTTCAATTTGCATTTTTTACATGGAAGGTGGGTTTTTTCCCCAGATTTTTGTGTCAAAAAAGCGGTGCGGACATTACACAGATGCGGACATTACGTGGGTTTTTACGGTATATATGCGTTTCATGATAATGGGTTTTCTAATTTGATGATTATTTTGCAGCTCTCCTTGCCCTGCTGGCAATGTTGGACCTATATTTCATCAATGATGCCTATTATAGCACACTCACTAAGGGTGCCTCAGTGCAACTTGTTTTTGGGTTTGAGGTATGTACAGTGTATTTTGATTTTTTATTCTATTCCCTTTGGGAATGACAAAGCAGTGTTCATGAATTTTAGATATTTCAGATCACAGTAAAAGATCTTTTTTGGTCTGTTATTGTTTAATGCCTTTAACTTGTGATATGAAATTATAATAAAAAATTTCATTCAATACGTAATCTTTCCTTTAAAAAACTATTGTATTCACATTAGAATTAAAACCCAAAATTAAACAAAAACATGCTTTTATCCAATTTAAAGTTTGGGATTATGCATACTGAATTTGTTTTGATTTTGTGAGATTTTCTTTTCAGTATGCTGTGTTATTGACAGTGGTGTGGATGACCTTGATGAAATACTTACTCCATTCCATTGATCTTCAGAATGAGAATCCATGGGAAAACAAAGCTGTGTACCTTTTATACACTGAACTTATTATAGGTACAGTACTGACAGACACCTAACCCTGTAGCTTTGCAAAGTGTTTTCTCGTTTTGCATTATTGAGTTTTTAGCCAGAGAAGTTCAAGGATTTATCATGCCTGATTAGACAGTTTAGTGTTGGATGCTGTTACAATAAAGGAAATTATCTTAATTTAAATTTTATCCTGAAATTTTATTTTGAGGCCCATGTCCTATTGTTTGATAAAGGAAACATTAGTATTGTCATTAAATTAAATATATTCTTGTAATTCAGAATACCATGTACCAGTTATAAAAGTGTAATTTGTTGTAATATTTTGTGTTGTAGGTTTTATAAAGGTTGTGTTGTACATCGTGTTTATGGCCATTATGATAAAGGTGCACACATTCCCATTGTTTGCTATCCGTCCTATGTACTTGTCTTTGAGGTGAGTATAGTTTGCTTATCTTTGAAATACATTTATTATGCTTTTTTTAGTCCCTACCAGGGAAAGCAGAAAGAACTATAGCATTTCTCACTGTCTGTTCATCTGTCTGGTTCATCTTTTAAAGGGTTTGTTTGTTAAATCTGCACATCCAGAGCAGATAATAAAATTGATATATATCTATGTTTTCTATATATATATATCCAAATCAACAAGCAAACAGTCTAATATTACTGTCACGATAGTAAATAGATGTGAAATAATTTGTTCAGAAAAGGAAGTGGTTTTTCTATATCAGTTATGGTAATCACATATTACTTACACACATACTTTTATAATTTAATGTATTAATTCATTCATTTCATTCATGTAAAGACTTGTGCATCCGAATATTTCTTTGAGAATTGCTTTAAGTCGATGACAAATGAATGGTTTTTTTATATTCTTTCAGAGGATTTAAGAAAGCTCTTCATGATGTGATTATGTCGCGACGTGCTATACAGAACATGAACACATTATACCCAGATGCTACTGCTGAGGAACTGCAGGCAGGGGATAATGTTTGTATCATTTGTCGTGAGGATATGTTAGCCAACTGTAAGAAGCTCCCCTGTAACCACATCTTTCATACAAGTTGTCTGCGTTCCTGGTTCCAGCGTCAACAGACATGCCCCACTTGTAGAATGGATGTATTAAGAATGAATCGTACAGAAACAGCCACACCCCAACAACAGCAGCCACAACCACAACAACAGCCACAGCCTCAACAGCCACAAGTACCTCAGATGCCTCAAATGCCACAAAATTGTTAGTCATCAATTTTCATTCATGTCAGAATTTTTCTCGAGCTTTAATGACAATTATCTAGAGCCAAGAAATACATTTCATTGCGGCAGTATTACATTATGTGAATTTCAGTTGTTGCTTTACTTTAATACTGTTCTTACTGTTCATATTTTTACCTGACAGTATTCCAAGGATTCCCAGGTATGCCTCCAATGTGGCCAAATATGCCTCAGCAGCCACAAGGTAAACTATTCTCTTATAAACTTAAACTAGCTACCTTTCCATACAATACTGCTGGTAACTTTCACACAGAAACAGCACACCCCATCCATACATGTATTTACCTTTCCATGGAGTACCTGTCTTCCCTCACATTGCTGGTAGTTATAGTAATGTTTATACAAGTGTAAGGTAATTTGAACACAGTGTCAACAGAATAAGATATTTCAACAGATTTCTGAATACATGTATTGAAATATTACACCTACATATTTTAGCCTAGTTTATTTTTATCGAATATGTGATGTCTCTAATAAAACTACTTCCATATCATTTCATTCCATGTGACACATGATACAATTTTTTCAAAAAGAATATACATGTTTTATATTTCCTGTTACCAGCTGCTCCAGGGACTTCTACTGCTAGTTCTACATCAGGAACACCACCAGTCTCCAGTACTGCAAGCACATACACTGTGGGGTCAACCTCCACACAGCCTACACCCACAACCACTGGTACCACCACAGTCCCACCAATAGTGCCACCAATGCTGCCATTCATGATGCCATATGGAAACTATGGTAAGAAGATGTTATGTATTCACTGTCCTTCAATACTTGTTAGAGGTCAAAACATTTGAGAATCTGTGTAATTGAGCTATTTTGTTTTATGTGGGAATCAAGCTTTGAAACTGTATTTGGTAGAAAAGCTCTTTTGATGAGCTATGCTGAAATCATCTACTAATGACAAAAGGATCTAGGTTTAAAATGTTTCAGTATTTTATGAGTGTTTATGAGAAGGGATGTGTTATAATAGTCATCAATGTATTGTATTGTATACACTGTTTGTAGCCATGCCAAGACCACCCAGAAACTTGACTGGTGCGTCTTTGGAGGAACTGAGGGCAATGGAGGGGCAGCAACGAGAGAATGTAGAGGCAAGGCTTCAATGGTTACAGGATATACAGGCTCTGTTGGATGGGGCGATGGTGCTTATACATCAGTACAATACTGTTGCTGCACAAACAGGGTAAGAGTTATCTTCCTTTACCAACAAATTTGGGATTTGATAATGAAATGTATCAGGTCAATTTTCAACTTCAATGTTGAGCAACTTTCAGCATACAAATTAATTTTCTATTTGCTGTTGCTGATTTATTTGCTAATTGTTTTCCTCAAATCTTTTGTAATATAGGAGAAAATTTATTATATAACCTTAGAAGCTTGTCTAAAGTGCTTTTTACAGGTATATGCCACTCAAATGGAAATATTTGATAATGCTTTAATCCGTTTAGTTGATATACCAGTATCTTTTTAAGGAAAGATCCTTTAAATACTTATTACTTGAGTAACCTGCTCAGATTGAAAGTGTATGCCCATTTGAAATTAAGGCTGCTCCTATTTTAACTTGGTGATTGTTTTTTTGTTTGTGAAGCATTATTCTTGTATTCAAGTCCCCCAGTCATGCATCAGGCCCTTGCTGACTTTTCAGACATGCTAAATCTTCAAAATCACTTTGTTAGCATTTCCTTGATGTTGATAGGAAGTCTCAATTGATTTTGTCAACACCATAAATAATTTTGGTTTGCCTGAATGACTGTGTTGATCCCTTTTCAGGATAGCAGGAATCAGTGCAGCTAGTTTTCCATTATCACAAAAACAGTCTGATAAGAAAACAGATATGGAAGTTAATTCAAGCCAAAATTCTGCACAAAATACTGAGACACAAGGTGTAAGCCAACATTCCACAGAAAAAACAGAAGATCAAAACCTTGGTAAGTTCATGTCCATTTAGATATGTAGAATGTTAATATTGATTTCAATCTTACTTTTACCTATGTTTCTTCTGGTAAGTATATAATCATTATTGATATTGATTTAATTAGTCAGAAGGGAAATTTATTTCTTAGGTAAAACATAAGCCACATCAGTATGAAATATTTGATTCCGTTGAGTTGAATGTTTCTCTATAGAAGCATATGTTCCTTGGTGAAACAGTGCCTTTTTAACATGTTGTTTTTAAGATTTTTTCCATTTAACAGTACATATTAATTACTTTTTGACCATTAGATTTTTCAGGTTTAGAAGGAGCAACAGGTTTCACTCCAGCAAAAGAGGAGACAATTCCTTCATGGGATGACCCCCATGAAGAGGAACATAATGATGAGATGCATGAGGTACGAAAACGCAGACTACAAAAATTTACAAAGGAGAATCAGTCTGCTGTTAAAGTGGAACACAAATCACAGGACTAAGCCAGCCTGTTACAGACTTATAGCAACAATGTGTCTTTGGCTCCTAGTCGACAGAGTGCAGCATTCCTTGGGATAGATGTTTCGTGTGTGTGTGTAGATGTGTGTGTATACAGCTACATAATGTATCTGAGAAAGTGTTTGGTATCTGAGATATCGGAAAGAATGTTGTTTGCATGTGATTTATCAGTGACAGTTATAAGGTGTATCTGAGAAAGAGTTAGCTTCCTGAGGAATTGGCAAGAATAATAGCTACCCGAGGTTTCAGCACTAGTGCAATAGCTAGAATAATTCCAAGTATCATGTACTTGTTAGGGGCGTATTTATTTTGGTATCATTAGAACGACATATAAAATGTTTACTCCAAATCACAAATATTATCAATCCTTTGTGTCAGACCTGGAAATTGAACTTGTAATCGACACAGTTTGATATTAAACCAGCAGGTCATTTGAATCTCTTATATTTCAGTAGTAAACTTCTGTGTTACTTCTCAGAAATACCATATCCTAGATTGTACGTACAATTTCCTATTACAAATACGATACTTTTACCATATTATACCATAATTTACATCACTCAGTGAACCAGGGAGATTGTTGCTCAAATAAGACATTTAGTTTGGGTGGACAGGTTTCAAAGCAAAGTGTTGGGATATTTTAAGCTCAGATAGAAATAAATATATGGCTTTTTAATTCATTTTATATTAACTTGTCGTCACATGCCAGTACAAGTTCTGATTAATAATTTTTTCTTCTCCAGCTATGTAACGATTTATTTCCTCCTACATTGTATGATATATCAATTCCATTGTAAATCAAATTTAGATATGGACATAGAGGCATTGTTTTGCCTGCGTCCATTATTAACTTAAATTAACTTTATTGCATTGTTTGATAACTCAAATATGTATGGTAGTTTGCTACAGTTTTCCGAAAATCATAAACATGATAAGCTTCTCTTAAATCATGTTTATAATTGTAATTAAGTCCATTAATATCTGTTTATTTCATTGTGCTGTAATTAACTCCAACTTCAATATCGTATGTTATCACTCAGAGATTTTATTTTACAATATTAATGCACATATATCGGAAATTAAGTATTTATTAGACCAGTGTTTTTAAGCTAAAACATAGATATTGGTCGATTTTGATAGAATAAAATCTTATGTCAGGGAATGCTATGCTTTATTTGATGTGATCATGTGGTTAAAATGTATTGTCATCTTATGCACAAGTGAATGCAAATTGATTTCAAATTTAATTGTTTAATTTATACATTTATATCTCTGTTTATTGACTTAACTCTTTAAAAAATAGAAACGAAACTCTAGGATTGTGTCCTACTCTTTTTCTCTATCTAAACTTGTTAAGGTATGGAAGGAAATGTTAAAATTCAGTACTTCAACCATTAGATTTTGTACTAGATTGTTAATAAGTGGTTGGTGATGAAGGTAACATAGAGGGTCATAAATATACCTGGTATTGATGCAGTGCAGAAAGAAATTTCAATATTTTAATAGTTGAGACTGACCTCCTGTAGTTAGAATTTACAAACATTTTTTTTTTTATATTCTTTAAATAAGCAATTTATGCTGTTCAAATTCATTCTCATGATCTAAAGCAACAAATATTTGTTGTAAAAATTACAAATGTATTATATAAAAAACATTTTCATTTTTGCCCGTGAAATCCAGGAATTTATCAATGTGATAAGAATTCTTATCACGTGATAATATCAGTTCCTTAATGTTATGACCAGTGAGCCGCACTTTTTCGTCACCGCATTGAAATTTGCCAAATGAAGTAAAGGTTGAATAAGTTGCATTTCCATAAAATCTTTTCCATTTTGATTTCATATTTTCTCAAATGTATTATTTAAAAACAAAATTTTTAATTGATTCTTAGCAGATAACAGCATAAATTTGCAGAATGCCACTTACAGTGGCACATAGTACGTAAGTTCAAAATGGCATCTTGTTAATCATAAAACCATAATAATGAGCAAGGAAAGTACATGCTAGTATTTTTGGAAATACTTATGACTTCGGTTTTTCAAAAATGTAATAAATTCTTAATGGTCGCCTGTTAAAATCTGTACAGCAGAACATATCTATACATGCATTATCCTGGGTGAAAAATAAAGATATTCTGCCAAATTTGTGAAATTTATATGATATTAAATGAGACACTATTATAGATATCCTCTATATAGCTGATACACATGAAGCTTGATTTGCATTTTGCATACTACAAAGGCTTGCATGGGATGTATGACTTGAAAAAACTTATGGGTCTTATGTGTATGTACACATATGTCTATATACATGTGGTGGTATGTGTGGCTTATGCAGGTTTGAGTGTCATAGTATATTAAATACTGCATGTGTTCTTATTTTAATGCCATTCTAATATTAGCTCCTTTCACCCTCATGTCATTGCACTTATTCAAGTCCAGTACCAAAATTTTTCCAGTTTGTCATTGGGTTTACTACCTGAATTTTAATCGCAAATTGAAATAGATTGAAGACTAATTTTATTTTGCTTTTTATTTACCTGAAGTGCAGTTTTCCTGAATCTGTGACATGTTTTCTGCTACATAGAATATACATGGTTAGGCATAGTAAATCCTTACACCCTTGAGCTTATGGTTATGAAGAATGTAGATCGCTTGTGTGTTTGAATCTTATTGCTGAGTCATCAGAAATACAAAATCATACAATAAATTTAAAATAATTTTGATTGACATTCACTTAGCTAAGATAACAAAACCATGGATCTGGAACTTAACTTGGCTGATAATTAATCAGGGCAATATACAACAGTCGCTGTTAGTAAGCTGCCAAATGTTGTTACGGTCTATGAACGGGTCAGTACAGATCCACATCCCCTGAACACCTCACAGCAAGCTAACTTTGCCTATCATGACCAAGTTAGCAACTGAGCGTGGGGTTCCAATTGGAGCTAACATCCCTCAAAGTTCTGAAATAAGAATTACACTTAATCAAATACACATAATGTAGCATTTGTATGTGAGAAGTGTAGCTGAGAAGTCAAGCAGTATACATTTTAGTCTCTTTAAAGATGTAATAATCAAATTAAGAGTTTAAAAGCTGGCAGTTCATATCAGCAGCATTTGGTTGATTAAAAGTCCAAGACACTGAATTTGTGTTTAGGAGTAAATATGAGGGATCTGGTGTTTGGTTCAGGAATCAAATATAACATATTTGATTGTAACTGAATGCGATCTAAATCTGGTTCTTTTGCCCCAATTTTTAGATGAGTTTACATGTTATACAACCAGATGAAATCAATAAAATCACACAGATGAAAGAAGAATGGGTTACACAATGTCCTATAATTAAAGAGAAAAACATGTCACAAGTTCAGGAAAGTTTTCTTTGCAAATTATTTCTGTTGAACTCCAAAAATGTTTGATTCTTTAAGGAAAAATTGAACCAAGATATCTATTCAGAATGACAGATTTACAGCTGCACAAGTAACACATATCCTTAAAATCTTATCGGTTCATTGGTGCAAATTTAGACTTTATGGTTGTGGCCAAAGGTTTTTTCAAAGTTATTCATGCTATTAACAGTTCTGCAATTCAAGTTTATGCCCATTACCATCCTGTCACTACTTTCTACCTAAGTGTAGATAGGATTATAGTACATCTGAACATAAAGTCTGGTGATTATAATACCATCTTGCACACTCTGTACATTGGTGCAAATATGCTTCACAGTGATCATTTGTCTGGTGAAAGTGACAAAGCATTTAACAATGTTGCACATGAATTTTCTAATTGGTTGTGATATAAGTACATTTATGCAATATTATATTACCAACCTGAAGAAAATCTTTCGAAATATTCATGTGATTACCTAAGAGTAGAATTGATGCAAAATTGTTTGATTTTACATGTGTTTTAACCAGCAAGACATGTAACGAAACAGCTAATGGACTTGGTGCGAAATTAGGATAAGAGACACATTATTACTCAGCATTACATTTACTGGATACACAAAAAGGTAAATGTGTAAAATATGTCCAGTATGCAATAAATTTTGGTATTAACTAGAATAAAGGTTCTTATAACACAACCATTAGAAGATTATTTTATTATCTTCTACTGGTTTTGTTCTTTGAAAAAGTTTGATTTTATTACTGCTACAACCTGAAGAAAATGTTCCGAAACATGTTGTGGTTGTAACATTTTTAGCCTACAATCATCAGATGATTTAATTTTGGTACTGATCAGAAAAAGAAAATGGTTTACAGGCAGCCATCTTGGTTTTTGAGAGTAATAAGCTTATCGCTATTTCTTGAGAGGCAGTGGATGGATCATTCTCAAATGTGGAGATTCTTCTTGGTTCCTAGTTAGGCGTCCGATTTTGAGACTAATTTGAAAACTAATATGGCCAAGAGGCGGCCATCTTGGACTTTAACAGTAATAGTTTGTTATTGCTATTTCTTGAGAAGTACCAGATCAATCACTCTCAAATTTCATATATATGTGTTCCTCTTGGTTTTAAGCTGTGCTTTTTTGATTCCAGGACTGATCAGAAAAAAAACAAAATGGCTGTCAGGCCTTCATCTTTGACAATGAAAGTTTGTAATTGCTATTTCAGGATGGATTGTTCACAAATTATATACATTAGTTTCCTTGACTCATTAGATGTGCTCGTCTGGTTTGACACTTATCAGAAAGCCCAAAAATTAAGTTTAGAGACAGCTATCTTGGATTTGACAATTGAAGATTATAATTATTGGGTTTTTAATAGAAAAGAAGGGAAATAATCAAACTTTTAAAGAACAAATAAAGATCAAATAATGGTGGGCACCAAGATCCCTCATGGGTATCTTGTCTAACAATTGTCTTGATTTTCTGCCAAACATTACAATTCATTATAAAAATCACTGAATCAAAATGAAGTGAACTAGCTTAACAGTGCATACAGCTTGATTAGTGTGTATTTCATCTATTCAAACAAATTTTCACATTTTATTATGAAAAAACAAATCCAACCAGGTGATGTATTCTAGTTAATTTATCATATATTACAGTCAAAATTTGGAACTGCCAAACATTTACTCTGAATCAGATGGATTCATTTTGTTTTCTTATCCTCGAGAAGCGATTCCAGTGTTGAATGGAAAGTTTAGTTGATTTGATACTAAAAAGAGTATGACATCAGCTAGTATGTACACACATCAGCATATGTAATAATGATGTTTTAAGCAATTGAAACTAGGATGTCAAATGTGAAATGATTTACAAAATTTTGTGTACCAATAAATCCTGAAATAAAGAACTTAATTTTTTTTAGAAATTGTGTCTTATGTTTTTATATGGATGCTTTAAGTAGGGGTATCCATAACTGTGGACAGAGAATCCACCAGTCTTCAAGTCAATGTAGATATACAATACTAACATTCCAAACACAATTCATATTTACAACAAAAAACCATTTATTTCGTTATGAAAGTGTGAAGATACAAAGCAATCTTCAAAAATGACATAACTCTTCTGTTTGATGTAAGCATTCCCAAGAAGTAAAGAACGCGTGAATTTCTGTGGTTTTGGCAATTCCTTGTAATCTAGTAAACCAAAATGTAGCTGCTTTGTGAAGAAGAGTCGGTCTGGCATGATTGCCAAATACTGAGAGTTGAGACCATGACTGCTTCTTTCTTTGTATATTCGATACGGACTTCTACGAAACCTATAGAAGCATGTCAAACAAAACAAATTAATAAATACTAGACCAATCAATGATTGATATTTCGGATGCATTTCACTTGGTTTGCTAAGTTTTACATTCTTTTTCTCGGAGTCCATATATACAGAGTAGCATAACCAAGGCAGTATTATCAATGACATCAACATCACAAAGTCTCCTGCACGTTTATAAGCCAAAAACGAATCACTCACATAGATGAGTTCATACTTCTTCATGCACAAACCATCTTTTTCAGGCTTTGATTTAAGAAGGGGTTTCAATTCAGGGTCCATCTTGAGAAAGTTTCTTCGTGGCACTATGTGAATCCTCAAAGTGTTTATTCCCAGTAATGTTGTTTTGTCTCTGATACATCTGGACTCTGCAATGCATCGGGTAGGTAACTGAAAATAAAAAAAGAACACATAAATATCAAGTATCTTCTACAACACATCAGGAAACTTCAGAAAAATGTCTTCATTTTATCTATATTGGCTTTATTGCAGAAATGTCTAGATATTTTTCCTATTTATTGATATCACTGCCAACAGTAAATAAATGAAGAGTGACTAAAAAATATTCCTGTTTCAAAGTGTGCTTTAAAACTGTCTCTGAAACACAACTTTTGCCCTCAATCATATTTACAAGTAAAAGGCATAAGCAAGGAAAGGTTAACACTAATGTAAAAAATGAGTGCTGAAAATATTAAGTCTTACAATCAAAGACAACCAATCATATTTACATGTATAAGGTATAAGCAAGGAAAGGTAAACACGAACGTGAAAAATGAGTCCTTTGTCAACATTTCTCTCAAATAACCTTTTCACAAGAGCTACCAATCAGATTTCAACCAGAATAAAAGTTCTTACAACACAATCGGTAGAAAATTTGGGTGTGATATTTCGATAACTGCATGGTCACCTTCTTCAGACAAATGATCAGTGTGAAGCATACCAGCACAAACATATGAGATGGTAAGGAATTTACCATCTTTTCAGCTGTATAATCCTATAAATTACACCAGATGGTAACCATGTACCATAGCTGATTTGGCTATGCGTTGTTTAATACTTGGTAATAGACGTGCAAGAGTCTATGGCCCCTCCTTGTCCTTGTTTATTATTGGTCCACTGTGGTGTGTGATGGTATCCTTGACCAGCCGTCTGAACAGGTTGTTTTCCCTGTCAACTATTTAGGAATTTTCCCAGCCAATATCAAGATTTTGCTGTGTGGAATGACCTCTTAGTGTCGTTTTATTGATATGGGACTCGGAATGCTTTTGCTTTGATCTCGCCAATTTTTGCCGTCATAGGATTCTGCGTCATTCTGATGTTCATCAAGTTGGACCCTGAAACTCCTGCCAGTTTATCCAATATATGATTCGTAGCCTAATTTGAAGAGAGACTTTTTTTCATTATATTACTTTATCAGGTAAGGCACAACCAGAGTTCTCTGGTACAACTTACTCTGACAACGTTAGGAGTTTAACACTGTAAGAAACTTACACAGGCGCCTTGTGACATCCCTAAATGCAATCAGGTGGATTATGACCTCTTACACGTATAGGAATTAGGCACAACCCAGAATTTGGGCAATACTTGATACCTCTGCATTTGAGTGATAGTTACTTCTTTGAAATTGAGTTTTCAACTAGTTACTCAAATGCCCGTCATTTGACATTTGCATCGAAAAAGGTGTAATCTTGATCTCGGCTGTTAACTGCGTGTTATCCCCAGCAAAATTTAACCAATAATTTCTGTCTCTACAATGATGATTTGATGTCAATATTCACATTTATTGTGATTTTATTGACATTTATTTTCATATGCTTATTTCAGAGTTTCGGTCAATGGCAAAATAAATCATTGGCTTTACCGTATGAAATCTAAGTGAAGTGTCTTGAAATCGATATGACATCGCTCTTCCAATCTTAATCAACGTGTGCTTGTTACGAAACAAGCACGATGAAATGCATGTCAGTACGTTCATGTTTCTGACCGGTGTCTACCAGGCTACCGTTGTCCTTGTTGGTTTACAGAACTTCCGGTTAAACCGAACGAAATGAACACACTCCTAGCTGGAGTTGTCGTTCCTTAACCACCTATGCATAAAACTCGACAATCACGGGAATAATTCTTTTAAATATCGATGAAACAGTTAAGGCCAAAATAAAAAGAGGCTAACGAGGAAAGTTCCGAAAGTGTTACTGAAAAAATCTAAAATTCATGGACAACATCCGCATTTTAAATCTGGGTAAATTCAAGCCATTTATGAGGTCGATCCACATATCCAAATTACGAAAGCCTATTAGTGTCACTTTGAAAAACAAAAAAAAAAACAACCTTTTTTCTCGTTAAAACGCGTTAATTATCTCGTTATAACGCGTTAGTTATCTCGTTAAAACGCGTTAGTTATCTCGTTAAAACGTGATAATTATCTCGTTAAAACGCGTTAGTTATCTCGTTATAACACGTTAGTTATCTCGTTAAAACGCGTTAGTTATCTCGTTAAAACGCGATAATTATCTCGTTAAAACGCGTTAGTTATCTCGTTATAACACGTTAGTTATCTCGTTTAAACGCGTTAGTTATCTCGTTAAAACGCGATAATTATCTCGTTAAAACGCGTTAGTTATCTCGTTAAAACGAGATAAAATGCGTTATTTATACAGTTATCTATATCTAAGAGATGTGACGTTTACGGTCAGGCTTCGGAATGAATTCGCTTATTTCTTTCGTGAAGAAGCTATCGGATGAAGTACGAAGGCCTATTAGTGTCACTTTGAAAAGCGAAAAAAAACCTTTTTTCTCATTAAAAAACGTTAATTATCTGGTTATAACGCGTTAGTTAAACGCGTTAATTATCTCGTTAAAACGCGCTAGTTATTTCGTTAAAACGCGATAGTTATCTCGTTAAAACGCGTTAGTTATCTCGTTAAAACGCGATAATTATCTCGTTAAAACGCGTTAGTTATCTCGTTAAAACGCGATAATTATCTCGTTAAAACACGTTAATTATTTTTTGGTCATGTCTTTAGGCTAGAAACTAGCTATTACATTTGAGAAGCAAACATATCAATTAACAAGTTAATTTCTCCATCTTCTGACTCCCTTCATCCGATAGCTTCTTCACGAAAGAAATAAGCGAATTCATTCCGAAGCCTGACCGTAAACGTCACATCTCTCAGATATAGATAACTGTATAAATAACGCATTTTATCTCGTTTTAACGAGATAACTAACGCGTTATAACGAGATAACTAACGCGTTTTAACGAGATAATTATCGCGTTTTAACGAGATAACTAACGCGCTATAACGAGATAATTAACGCGTTTTAACAAGAAAAAAAGTTTTTTTTTTTGTTTTTCAAAGTGACACTAATAGGCTTTCGTAGATGAAGGGAGTCAGAAGATGGAGAAATTAACTTGTTAATTGATATGTTTGCTTCTCAAATGTAATAGCTAGTTTCTAGCCTAAAGACAGGACCAAAAAATAATTAATGCGTTTTAACGAGATAATTATCGCGTTTTAACGAGATAACTAACGCGTTTTAACGAGATAATTATCGCGTTTTAACGAGCTAACTAATGCGTTTGAACGAGATAACTATCGCGTTTTAACGAGATAATTAACGCGTTTTAACGAGATAACTATCGCGTTTTAACGAGGTCACTAACGCGTTATAACCAGATAATTAACGTTTTTTAATGAGAAAAAAAGGGTTTTTTTTCGCTTTTCAAAGTGACACTAATAGGCCTTCGTACCAAATAGATTATTTTTTAAAAAAAAAGGGGGGGGGAGGCGTAGACTCATCTCCACCGTTTAGTCTACTGAAACTGCTTCGTCTAAACTCAGGAAAAAAAAGGTAAGCATTTAAAATCCTTATATCCCCCTTTGTCTCAAAGGAAATTAAGGGAATGGGGGATCACATACACCATCATACAAAAGAAAAGTGTTCCCGCCACCAAAATTTAGATAAAATTCGATCATTCGTACAGAAAAAGAAGGATTTTAATTTGGGCCCCGCTCGATTTCATTTACAGCATCTACTACGCGTATCCCCAAGGACTGGATATCAACATCATACATGTGTTTTGGGTTTGGCGGCGATACAATCCAAGAAGTTGTTTCCAGAATGGATAAAGTTGGTTCCTACAAGCATTCAGAGGAACTCGACGTTTAGGAAATTGTATGTATGCCAAGGAAGTCAAAAGGTCGTCAAAGTTTCATTTTATGTTAATATTCTAAGGAGCCGTCCTGTGTATTTCTGCCATGTCACTATGACAACGTTTATCAACTTATTTTTTATATCAACAAGTAGGCTTGTGCATTAGCTGACGAAAATCAGTGAAACTTTGTGTCACAAGGAGGGTTTAGCGCCTTCTGCTTCTTAGCCGAATCCAAGCGATGTCATGTCCTCCCCAAATAGGATGCTAGAAAATAACGACACTTTCAGGTATATAGCACCAAACACATGTAATTTTATATCAAACAATGATTTACATGTAATATTCAGAACACACGGGGACTAAAAATACTACAGCCAAGATCTCGATGTGTCCGGGACAACTTAAGTGCAGTGCACAGTTGTATCTGGTAAAAAGAAAGAGGAACCCAGGAGACACTTCTACCACAATGCTAGAAGTCTCCTAGTCATCTCCCATAGAGAATATTTTATGGTCGAATTGGAGTGATCTGGAGGATATCTAAACATATCTCTGTTATTATCTTATAGTTTTCATGTAGCACCCTGTTAAATTTGTGTGTATTTAAATTCAACGTATTATGTTTATATATGGGCTATTTGCATTATTAGATAAATAGTTTGTGCCAGTTTTACCGATGTTATATGTGCGGGTTCCTGAATGCCGTACCGCGTCCGGTTCATTACTTTCGTTTTTGTATTTGTATAAAGCAGACTTACGGTAGGCCCTGAACATGTATACGGGGACGGTACATGTATTGTCCGCAATTGACCATTGGCGACTTTACTCCGACCTGTGACTTGCGCAATGCGTTCTTTGTTTCCTTTCCCCGCGCTACTCTTTCTCTCTATCTTCTCTACACTTAAACGCTGGTATTCTAGGGAACAAGATGTCCATTCTCCTCTGACCGCTCCAGGACTTTTTGAGAATATTATATACATATTTCCATGTCCCCAACACCATATGCAGGGTAAGCAGAATCATTTGATGTTCGTTTAAACTTGCTTATAAGAAGATCTCAGAATATATTTTCCTTCTATTTATTCCTTTAAAGTATCTTTATTGTACGTAAGATGCCGCCAGGGTCATTTGGTATTGGTAATAATAATGTTAGTAAGTCTATTTATATACATGTAGCTGTAAATATATGTAACTGGAATGGTATTTTACCGATTCCTATTTCTCAAGATTGTATGTAATTGTTTGAACCAGTATAAGGAATATCCAAATTGTAATCACACTTCAGTCCAAGTGATTAGCATTCCCGCTATTTTGGGTTCGTTCGATCAGGGCTTTATTGATAGTATTTTATTATTTGTATTTTAAGGACGAACTTCAAACTTCTGAATTATAGATTTTTACCAAGAATAAAACATAGAAATGTAACGCTGACTTCGACTCGTCTGTCCGCACCGCAAAGAACGACCCTAGGAACAACACACACTTTAACGTTCATATAATGCAAAACATTACACTAACTTTCCTTATCAGAAAAAGTTATATTAAAACCGTTTGAAAGTACACACGGAAGAAAACCCACATACCTACAAAAAGTATGATAATTACGAAAGTGGCCAAGGAAGTTATAACTATGAGTAAGACTTGTTAAAAAGAATGATGGGATTGGGAGAGAGTCCTATTACTTAGAAGGGGTAAGACTCGCCTTGTTTATGTTACCTAGAGAAGATAAGAACGAGTACGGGAGGGGCGCCATGATCCTATTACCCGTCCTGACGTAAAGTGTTGCTTGTTAGCGAGGATAAGACGGGGCACCATGTTCCAGTTACCCGTCCTGTCGTACAAAAATGTATGTAAGTGAGGATAAGACGGGGGCGTCATGTTCCTGTTACCCGTCCTGACGTGAAGTTCTGCTTGTAAGTGAGGATAAGACGTGGACGCCATGTTCCTGTTACCCGTTCTGACGTAAAGTACCAGTCCCTATCAGAGTTGTTTAAGAGATTGGTTGAGTACTGTTAGCAATCTCCATTGAAGAACATTATTAACATTTAACTCTATCTATTTTACACCCGTTACGAAACTAGTTTTTTTCTCTAATTTATGTAAATCACTCTTGTTGGCCCGGGTGGAAGCGTTCGAGTGGTCTTACTGTATTGTATATCCGTAATATCATGACAGGGCCCTTTATTTTATATCTGTGACACCATGACAGCGTCCTGTTTAGAATTTCTGTGTCCTTTGTTGTATATCAGTGATATGATAATAATAATCTCTATTTTCTGAGGATTACATATTTAGCCAACGACTAATCTTCCATATGGTCCTCTTGTTAGTAAAATACAGTATATATGTGTTGGTTAAAAGTTACATATTGTATATACATAGTAAACCTGTAGTAACAAAGCAAGACATCACAGATAACAATTCGGATTGGAATTGGATAATATTAAATCAATTTAAACAGCTCCAGTCTTATACACATATATAATAGTGTAGCAAAGAAAAAGAAAAATGACATAAGAAAATACCAATGATATAAAAATGTGTGTTGACAATGTTGACACACGATATACACTGGAGGATAGACAGTTAATTATGGGTTAAAAGTTTTATAGGTAAGACAATAGGATAATAATCTGCTAAAATAATGAATAGACTTAATACAGTTCTTTAGAGAATTTTAATATGAAATCTGATCATCAATGCTCCAGGAGGTGATTGCTGAGGGCACGTTTAAAGGAGGCAAAACGTGTTGCCGTCCTTATCTCATTCGGCAAATTGTTCCAGAGTTGGCTTCCTGCAACTACAAAATTATTGCCATGAAACTTGGTACAATGTTTAGGAATATTTAGAATATTGCTACGGCCTGATCCTGTGCATCTGGTATGGATATCAGATCTTAAGTTAAACAAACTACATAGATATTCTGACAACATCCTGTATTGTATATCCGTGTCACCATGACAACACCCTGTATTGTATACTCTTGATATAATGACAACGCCATGTATTGTATATCTGTGTCACCATGGCAACTTCCTAAATTGGATATCTGTCACCATGACAACTGCTGTATTGTATATCCGTTATATCATGGCAACGTGTTGTTATAACTTGTACTGCTACCCTGCTATCGTGACAACGTCCTCTATGTTCCGGCCATGTCACAATGACAAAGTACTACTTTCGTTGTATACCCAACATGACTTTTATGGTGTATTAACCGACAATGTTTTGTTAATTTAGTATAAAGCTGAAAAGTCTTTCCTCTTTCACGTACCAGCTAGCTTTATGCACCAGAAGCCAACAGGTGTTTTTTTCTGACCTGTTGTAGGTGACTCATTAGCCTGACAGAAACCAAAAGAAATCTAATTAACTAAAATTTAAAAAATTCTGAAGACACAGATATGGTAGAATCAAATATTACTCATTCGACATTAATGGAAGGTTTTTTTTCACCACAGTGCCCCGAAACTCCCCCTCGGGTTTGGAAAAGTTTACTCTAATTTATACAGGAAAATGACCTTGTTGAGAAAATATTGTTTAATTACCATTGGAAACAGTTCATTGTTCGTTAGATTGGCGTGTCAGGTAATGCTATGCATTACACGTGTAATGTAGTTCAGGTGATCTCACTTTGTTAACGGGATGATTTCTATGACATGTATTGAGATCAGGTGACCGATAATGCTCCTCTGCCTCTTTTTATTATTTGGTATTTACGTAAATTATACTGGTTAAAACAGTATTCATTATTTGATATTTACGTAAATTATACTGGTAAAAACAGTATTTATTATTTGGTATTCACGTAAATTATACTGGTAAAACAGTATTTATTATTTGGTATTCACGTAAATTATACTGGTAAAAACTGTATTTATTATTTGGTATTCATGTAAATTATACTGGTAAAAACAGTATTTATTATTTGGTATTCACGTAAATTATACTGGTAAAACAGTATTCATTATTTGATATTTACGTAAATTATACTGGTAAAAACTGTATTTATTATTTGGTATTCACGTAAATTATACTGGTAAAAACAGTTTTTATTATTTGATATTTACGTAAATTATACTGGTAAAAACAGTATTCATTATTTGGTATTTACGTAAATTATACTGGTAAAACAGTGAATTTCGCCTGTATCACAACGGGAACACGTGGAAGGAGGCATTAATTCCACGCGCCATTGTAGGCCCATGTATTAAAGAGTGATGATCAGAAACATTTCATTCTTGGTAGTTTGACTCGCAGAGTTATCTGTGATGTCTTATATTACTAATTGCCTTCTTGAAATATAAGCGGAGCTCCATTGCTGGCCATTTTATCATATCTAACCATAATGAAATACTATTTAAGAAGTTGAAGATTCGTCTGGTTTCCATCACCGATTTGCTCTGGTGTTAACATATATATACAATGACCAGGAGTCCAGCTCATCTAACAAGGTCTGTAACATTTCGGATCGGACACATTCTTCACTTATCATCAGTCTGTACACCAGTTTATTATATACATATATCTTATATTTATAAAGATGAGATAAACATTTTCCCAGCCATTCCGCTTCTTTTAAACACTAAGCCTGCTTGATTTCCCTAGCCTGTATGTGTCTGTCGAGATCCTCAATACTTAGTGGGATTTGTGTACAAACAACAGCAACGGTGTATATGAAGTATGTCTAAGCGACGTTTGTAACATCAGGAAACAGGGCGACCCACGTTGGTAGGGTTATGTCCGGATATTGATGTGTATAGTCGACCGTACAGCTGCGGAAACGATGTCTCATTACACACTGTGTAGCTAGTTGACTGCTGCACTGGTTCGCACGTCCAAACGACACTATTTAACAATCTGTGGTTATTGTACGGCACGATCAGAGGGGTGAAACGTGTGCCACACTGCCAAGATGGCAGACGACAGTGTAGAGGAAGAGAGGAAGATAAAGGTGACGGCGGTGGGAGACTGTGGGGTGGGGAAAACTTGTCTCCTCATGACTTATGCCACTAACAAATTCCCCGATAGTGACGTCCCCGGACTTTACGAATGCAGTCAAACTGTAAAAGGTAGGCGCGCGCTTATATTCCTTTTGAAATGAGTGTATTTTTAATATTTGTATTACAGATAAGGAACGCAAATAAGTATCAATCATATGTATGCACGCCCAGTGAATAAACAAAAGGTTTCTTTAGAAAATGAATGATACGATGAGTTTTGTGAAACGAATAACGACAACAATGCAGAAATCAAAACTTACCAATGAAGGAATGGCACGCTGTGATATCATACTACATGTATAATCACACCCTGTCTACTTCGTTCTAGCCTACATGAGAACTGAACACCATACTCTTTTGATTATCATCGTAATGGTTTGTTCTTTAAATCAATTTCTTGAATTGCAGTTTCTTTAGAGGTACAAGGGAAAGTTACGTCTTTACAGTTGTTGCAGTGATCAAATCGTGCTCTTCCTGTTTTCATCGCCAATGTTAGGTCTAAGTGTTTTGGGTTTTTTTAACCATTGCCATGTCCTGTTATTATGTAAAGGCGCGAGGTCATATATTGTCCCCGTAATCAAGGTCACATCTTATTTTCCGTCGTAATCATCAAGGTCACATCTTATTTTCCGTCGTAATCATCAAGTTCCCATCTTATTTTCTGTCGTAATCATCAAGGTCAAGGTCACATTTTATTTGTTGTTCTGATCTTTAAGGTCATATATATCATTTCCTTACTTTGTGCATGAAATTTAATTACTATTTCGAACCGGGCATTTCTTTTCTTCATTCAATAAGCCGTCCTGATTTAACCTGTCAAGGTCATGATAAAGGTCTTGATGGCAATTCTTGTGACCAGGCGGTGCCTTTTTTCGTCGTTTCTAGGATCCTGTTCACGCCAAGCTGTTGCTGTACAAATGACACATGTGGTCTATATAAAGCTTTAATTACCGATGAAAATCGTCGTTGCCATGGCAGGGTTGATATGCTTAAACGTAGTTTTCAAGTGCAAAAGCACTTTATTTTGATGGTCAATTAGATATGCATGCTACGCACGACACCATTGCTGAGCACACCAGGTCAAACTGCACTCAAATTCCAAATAATGTATTCCGCGGGATAGAAATTATATCACAGTAGTCAATGCTAAATATATGTGTGTTTTCCATGTCAAGCGATTTAAAAAAGATGTATTTCCATTCTAGAATAAATGCGTTTTTCTATACTCGAGTGTCACTAAAATTCACAACTTGATGACCGACTTCCTGTGTTTGACTTCCTGTAATGTACACACAGACCTTCGCCGATCACGCGTACCGTGTGTGCAACGTTAGTTTCTTAAAATCCATTAACAGTATAGTTGAAGACATATTCATCTAGACTCGGCCCACTTCGTGTCGTATTAGCACTTTAGTTGCCTAAGCAAATCGGTTTTTAAACATTTTTTTGTTCAATGATATAACACACATACACACTATGTTATTATACAATATGGGGAAATAAGTTTTACACTCGTTATGCTGTCAGTAATATTTTAGTCTCCTACACAAACTTAATTCGTATAACTTAATAGTAAAAGTTGAGTATCCTACACAACCTCAGTTTATATAAAATAAATAGTAACATTTTAACCCCCTACACAACCTGTCTGTAAAATTGAATTGTAAAATTTTAACCCCCTACACAACCTGTCTGTAAAATTGAATTGTAAAGTTTTAACCCCCTACACAAACCCAGTCTGTATAATTACATAGTATCATTTTAGTCCCGTAACCAACCTCAGTCTGTATAATTACATAGTATCATTTTAGTCCCGTAACCAACCTCATTTTGTATGATTAAATAGCAGTCAATCAATAGACAACCCCGGTTTTTAATTTTTAGTAATAAATTAAGTTGCCTGGACAATCCATTGTTTGTGTTGTCAGTATCACACTAGTTATCAATACAATCAACTGCGAATTGCAGCATATAGTTTAGAGTTGCCCAGACAACCCAGTTTGTTTTGTTAGAAGTATTTTAGTTATTCAGTTTCAGTTTTATATAGTTTAACATTATAGTTGCCTTGACAACGCAGTTTGTTTTGTTAGAAGCTTTTTAGTTATTCAGACAGTTGCAGTATTATATAGTTTAACATTATAGTTGCCATGACAACTCCAGTATGTATTGTTAGAAGTATTTTTATAACCCAGACAGTTCCAGATTTATATAGTGTAACATTATAGTTGCCTTGACAACGCAGTTTGTTTTGTTAGAAGTATTTTAATAATACAGTTCCTGTATTATATATTGTTACATTACAGTTGCCCTGTATGGTTAGAAGCATTTAATTTGTCGTTAATGTACCTCCCCACCTAGATTTTGACACGTCTATCTTTGTATTTACCTCAGTCACATCCCTGGTTACAAATTGTTGGCATTTAACAGTCGCATGATGCGGGTTGATTAAGGTTTTAGCTCTGTTGTATCTAATTCTAAATTTGTATTGAAAGGTGCTATCCGACGGGGTATATGTGTATAATTTATTGTACAGACACCAATTAGTCAAACGTTTGTATTGTTGTATCGCTTATAGTTGACTGTTTTATGTCACACTTTGAAGATAGCTCCACAGGACAAAACATAAATCGGATTAAATGAACATAATGAACGTTGTATAAATCTCTCTCTAATAAAGTTATCTGTCACACTGTACGAGATGATGGTTCGGTCACGTGATTTCCTGTACATATGAAATCCACATTCTACGACACACACATACACACACATGTACGTACTGATGTACAACGCCTTACCCAGGAAGAAACGTTCATCGATTTTCAGTCATTCAACATATGATGAACCTATCGTTATTTATCTGTAGTGGACACTGATATATCACGTCCATTAACCTAGCATTCATCATTGCCTGCAGTGGAGAACTTCCTTAAATATCACCTCGATACACCTCTTTTGTGACCACGGTAATGGCCACCACCATAAAACTCTTTTGTGATCACGGTAATGGCCACCACCATTAAACTCTTTTGTGATCACGGTAATGCCACCACCATTAAACTCTTTTGTGATCACGGTAATGGCCACCACCATTAAACTCTTTGGTGATCACGGTAATGGCCACCACCATTAAACTCTTTTGTGATCACGGTAATGGCCACCACCATTAAACTCTTTGGTGATCACGGTAATGGCCACCATCATTAAACTCTTTTGTGATCACGGTAATGGCCACCACCATTAAACTCTTTTGTGATCACGGTAATGGCCACCATCATAAAACTCTTTTGGTGATCACGGTAATGGCCACCATCATAAAACTCTTTTGGTGATCACGGTAATGCCACCACCATAAAACTCTTTGGTGATCACGGTAATGGCCACCACCATTAAACTCTTTTGTGATCACGGTAATGGCCACCATCATAAAACTCTTTTGTGATCACGGTAATGGCCACCACCATTAAACTCTTTTGGTGATCACGGTAATGCCACCACCATAAAACTCTTTGGTGATCACGGTAATGGCCACCACCATTAAACTCTTTTGTGATCACGGTAATGGCCACCACCATTAAACTCTTTGGTGATCACGGTAATGGCCACCATCATTAAACTCTTTTGTGATCACGGTAATGGCCACCACCATTAAACTCTTTTGTGATCACGGTAATGGCCACCATCATAAAACTCTTTTGGTGATCACGGTAATGGCCACCATCATAAAACTCTTTTGGTGATCACGGTAATGCCACCACCATAAAACTCTTTGGTGATCACGGTAATGGCCACCACCATTAAACTCTTTTGTGATCACGGTAATGGCCACCATCATAAAACTCTTTTGTGATCACGGTAATGGCCACCACCATTAAACTCTTTTGGTGATCACGGTAATGCCACCACCATAAAACTCTTTGGTGATCACGGTAATGGCCACCACCATTAAACTCTTTTGTGATCACGGTAATGGCCACCACCATTAAACTCTTTGGTGATCACGGTAATGGCCACCATCATTAAACTCTTTTGTGATCACGGTAATGGCCACCACCATTAAACTCTTTTGTGATCACGGTAATGGCCACCATCATAAAACTCTTTTGGTGATCACGGTAATGGCCACCATCATAAAACTCTTTTGGTGATCACGGTAATGCCACCACCATAAAACTCTTTGGTGATCACGGTAATGGCCACCACCATTAAACTCTTTTGTGATCACGGTAATGCCACCACCATTAAACTCTTTTGTGATCACGGTAATGGCCACCACCATTAAACTCTTTGGTGATCACGGTAATGGCCACCACCATTAAACTCTTTTGTGATCACGGTAATGGCCACCACCATTAAACTCTTTGGTGATCACGGTAATGGCCACCACCATTAAACTCTTTTGTGATCACGGTAATGGCCACCACCATTAAACTCTTTTGTGATCACGGTAATGGCCACCATCATAAAACTCTTTTGGTGATCACGGTAATGGCCACCATCATAAAACTCTTTTGGTGATCACGGTAATGCCACCACCATAAAACTCTTTGGTGATCACGGTAATGGCCACCACCATTAAACTCTTTTGTGATCACGGTAATGGCCACCACCATTAAACTCTTTTGGTGATCACGGTAATGCCACCACCATAAAACTCTTTGGTGATCACGGTAATGGCCACCACCATAAAACTCTTTTGTGATCACGGTAATGGCCACCACCATTAAACTCTTTTGTGATCACGGTAATGCCACCACCATTAAACTCTTTTGTGATCACGGTAATGGCCACCACCATTAAACTCTTTGGTGATCACGGTAATGGCCACCGCCATTAAACTCTTTGGTGATCACGGTAATGGCCACCACCATTAAACTCTTTGGTGATCACGGTAATGGCCACCACCATTAAACTCTTTTGTGATCACGGTAATGGCCACCACCATTAAACTCTTTTGTGATCACGGTAATGGCCACCATCATAAAACTCTTTTGGTGATCACGGTAATGGCCACCATCAAAAAACTCTTTTGGTGATCACGGTAATGCCACCACCATAAAACTCTTTCGTGA